CTAATCTAAAGTAAAGTATATTTGACTAAAAGGTGCAGACGCAAATAATAAAACAACTTTATTTAGTCAAAAAACCGACAGAAACATCTTGGGTTATAAGTATTTGTCTTCGACTAAAACATTTCATATCTAAAAGGTGCTTGTTTAGGAACCCATAAAAATGATTGTTTTCATAAAATATGTTTCTTTAACCCGAGAACACTAACCATGGGTATATAGTACCCAGCGCAAATTTTCCTATTTTAAATTACAATATTCAATACCTGATTTTCTTACCTAAATAATATGTTTTTCAGTTGCTATTAATGTTAACTCAAAGTAAAACGTTTGAAGTGCCTGCATGTAAAATATTTCAAATAAAGATTTATATTTAATATCTTTTTGATATTTTCAAAATCGGGTATGATATACCCATGGTTAGTTATGGTGTAACTTTAATTGATGGTTAATGTTCTAGGGTTAAATTATTTTAATCGGCTGAAAGATTACTTTATCTGCCTGTTTTTAGTATTTATTTGAGACGTGTATATTTTCCCATTATATTGTCATTGTTTTGATTATAAAAATTCATTTCGGTTTTATTACTTTATGTCATTCCATACTTTTAGCGTATTCCTTTTATGTAATTACCCTTCTCATTGATTTATTGTTTCTGAAGTTTTGGTGCAAATGCTTAAAGACAACGAGTTCATTTATTGTTATCCCAAAATATGAGATCGATAATCGTAACAAATCTGAATGGCTGATCGGAAAATCTCAGAAAAGATAACTTTTTCAGTTTTTATCTCTCACAAATATAACTCTGCTGAACATTAGAATACAAATCTATTCAATTAGGGTAAGTTGAATGTGATACCGAAAATAATACCTCCAATTATATAACATTTTTGATGTGTTATGAATAAAACATTTTATCGATGTTAGACTGAATGTCTTTAAAATTTGAACAGAAGATAAAACCCAGGGAAGGGGAATAATATAATGGCTGCCAATTCCTACTGCGGACGCCTGTCCACGCACATTTATGTTTGTTCAGTACTCACAGATTTCACATGTGCTCTATAATGCAACAAAGCTGAGAGGACTTTGATTACATTTTCTGGGAGATAACACATCGTTTGATATGATCAACAATTTGGACAAGTCCATTTCGCTCAAACTCTCGGTCACGATGACTTGTGACTTCGTGCTAGTTGACTATCAATTCCATCTACCAAATTTCACTAAAAACTCTGGGGCTTTCAGGTACTTTCCAACAATGTCACTTGCCGCTCAGTAAGTCATCTTCCAGATAAACCGATAATAGTGAGGTTCGAACTAGGATATCATGTTCGGAAAATTCTAACAAATCGTACACATGCCCAGAAGGAACAATATAATATACTCCTGGTCAAGGTTTTCGAGGGCCACACATAAGATTTAATAATTAGTACCCTCATAAATTAGTCAGAGTTAAACTAAAGTAGGTATGAAACCTTCTTTGGTTTAATGAACTCCAACTATTTTATGAGGTTGAAACTATTTAACCAGTTAGTGTCGGGCGTGCAATTTTTGAGATGTGGTATCTACAATTTAAAATCCACCAGCCTTTAAATTGCAATTAGCCAACAACGTAGATAAGATAATGAGTCATCATTTTAAGCAAACATTATGCAGTAATAAGTTAATATCGTATTATTATTATTATTATTATTATTATTATTATTATTTTATTTTATTTCTGGCGTTTATACATTTCTTTCCGGGTCCCGCCCAGGGACCTAAGGTTAGAAATGGCATCATGATACTTTCCACTGATACAAAAAAAAAAAAAAAACATAGATAAAGCCCTTCGTAAGGTGTGGGCTGTACTTGTCAGAACAATTTTTTGTATCTCCTTCAGGCATGGACTTCCAGGAATCCCTTCAATTAGTCTACTGCAATCTTTTCCAACCAGTCCTAGGGCTCCAACTACAACAGGGATTGTTGATGTTCCCATATGCCACATTTTCGAGATTTCTATTTCAAGGTCCTTGTACTTTGACAACTTTTTGAATATCTTCAAAGATAGATTGCAGTCAGCAGGGACTGCCATATATATAAGGAGGCACCGTTTTTGTTGGTGGTCTTTAATAACAATATCTGGCCGGTTGGCCTTGAATTATTATTATTATTATTATTATTATCATCATCATCATTCGATTTCTGCTATGGACACACTACCTACCAAGTCTGCGGAAAGACCTAAGGCAGGTCGTGGTGTGTTGTTATGGCCACATTTCATGTTAATTTTTTTTTTTTTTTTTTTTATCTCCGATGAAGTTGCTAGCGTTACATAGACAAAGTTCTCCTTAGTGTGTGTGCTGTACTTAATAAGACAATTTTCTGTATGTCTCTTAAGCTGGGGTTTCAGGGATTCTTTCAATGTGTTGTTTTGTTCCATTTTTTATAATTCCAAGTGCACCTATTACCACTGGTATTATTCTTGTTTTCAATTTCCACATTTTTTCTATTTCAATTTCCAGGTCTTTGTATTTTGATAGTTTTTCAAATTCCTTGGTTGCTATGTTACTTATTATTATTATTATTATTATTATTATTATTATTATTATTTGTGTATGTTATGTTTCCTACTTTGTATCCTGTAGAGCCGAGTCTAAACTATGGTTCTTTGGCCCTATAGAAGAATTGTCATTTAACTGATAGCACTTTTCTCAGTATATGGAATGTTCCTAGTAGAGCGATCTTCTGGGCAACTTGTAGGTTGATGTTACCTGGGGTACTGCTAGTAAAATTATCCATTCCTTTTCTCACGAGGCAAAGAGCTCTGATCATTACTGGTACACTCTTAGTTTTCATTCCCTACATCCTGTTAATCCCGATCTCCAGGACCTTGTATTTATGCAGGTGTTTTTCTCAGGTGGTATTGCTACGTCAATAAGTATACACTTCCTGAATTTCTTGTTTTTTTTATGATAATGTCAGGTTTCCCTGTCAGTTTGAATTGACATATCCCAGATAATAGTTACATCATTATTTTGGGCAACTGTGTCTGGTATGTGCTCATACCATCTCTTGATGGTTTCGATTTTGTGCTTCTTGCATATCTTCCAGTGCATATATGTTGCTACCATGTTATTTCTGTACATCATGTTTCGCCAGTTCCGGAGATCCTGAGCTAATATGGCCGACAGTTTCATCATATTTTTCGCAGATCCTGCATTTTCAGGTTAGTTTCATCTTTGATTATGTGACAGTGAGGATCTAGTTGCAAGGCGTTGGTCCTGAGCTGCAATAATTAGGCCTTCAGTGTCAGTTTTAAGCCCGGTGTTCATCAGCCACTGGTGCGTTTTCTGTTGGTCTACATCTGCTTCTTTCGTTCTTTTTAGGTATTTGCCATGCAATGCCTTTTCCTCCAAGTTTTTGTAATTTCATTTGCCCAAGTTGTTTTGCTAAGTGTTTTAATTGTTTGGCGTTAAAATTATTCTTCGTTTTTTGTTGGTAGGATTTCAAGTATATTCTGCTCCTCCTTGAAGAGTGCATTTTTTTGTTGATGGAATGGATTTTCTATTTACTATTTCTAAAAGAGAGGCTCATTGGTTTTTGGCTTCCAATCCGACAGTTATAGTTTTTATAATTAGTTCAAGTTGGATTAAACCTCTGACTCTTAAAGCTCTTGGTACGTACAGCCTATCAATATCTGATTTCGGGTGGTGTATCCTCAATTGGGTCAGCATTCTTCTGCTCTTGGCGTCCAATTTTTTAATGTCATTCAACTTTCATTTAATAATGTCGAAGGTTTATGTTACTACGTGTATAGCTAATATGGTAATAACCTTTAATTTATTAGTCACATTTAGTTGGCTTTCTAGTATTAAATGCACTCTCCGATAAAATTCTTTTCGGATCTTTTCCTTCATAATTGAATGTTGTATTCCATCTCCTTCATTAATTCTTAAGTAATTGTATGTACCATCTTGGTCTAGTTCCTTAATTTTGTTGTTAATATCAATGTCTAAATCTTTCATTTTCGGTAGTTTACTGCCAATGAAGGTAGCTTTGGCACATTTGTCGATTCCAAACTCCATACTAATGTCCTCTCTGAAGGTTTTGACAATGGTGATTAGGTTTTTCTGCTGGTTGTCATCCTTGGTAAAGGTTTTAAGATAATCAATATAGAATAGGTTATTCAGTTTGCCAGTCAGTAACTTGTATCCGTAACTTCTGTGACTTGTATCGGTATCTACTTTTGTTCAGTGGGCAGATAAGTGGCGCTAAGGCAAGGCAGAAGAGTTGTGATGACAGCGTACCTCCTTGATATTCATTGACATCACTAATAAGATCTCGCTTTTGATGTTGATGGGCCCCGATGTTAATGACCCGTTTGTATGGTTTAGGTTTAGTGTAGTCTTCCAGTTTTTCATGCTCTCCGTTATGAATTTGACCTTTGTGGAACATTCTCTGTATATTTTTAGACATTTCTTCATCCATGAATGTGGTACACTGTCAAAGGCCATTCTGTAGCCGATCCATGCTCTTGATAAGATTATTTTCTCTGTTTTCACATTTTCCAATTTTGTTTTATTGATAATTAGTTGGTCCTTGCACCCATTACTCTTTTATATCCCTTCTGTTTTGCTGGGAGTAAATTGTTTTTCTCAAGGAAGTTGTATGTCCTCTAGGTTATGATAAAAACTGAGGTACTTGTACATTGTTGGTCGGCAGGTGATGGGTCTATAGTTCTTTGGGTTCTACGTCTCTTCTGTTTTTGGGGAGTAGGTATGTTACTCCCCACGTGAGTAATTTTCTGGGTTTATGATTATATTATTGTATGCCCGTGCGAGGTCTTAGTGGGCGTTAAATAGTATTTTTTTTTTATCCCAAAATTGGTTTATTCCTGGTGCTTTAAAGTTTTTGGTTTTGCAGATGGCAGGCCTTGTTTCAATAAGATTGATATCTCTCCATTTTTGACACTCTATATATGTGTGTGTGATCTTCCTGTTGTTGCTTGATCCATGTAGCTCTTTCTTTCTTTCTTTCTTTCTTTCTTTCTTTCTTTCTTTCTTTCTTCGTCTATTTCCGTTATTTCTGGTGTACTCATTTCTTTCCGGGTCCCGGCGAAAAACATTAAGGTCAGAAAAGGTATAATGACATTTTCCACTGAGCACACATATTTTACATAGATAAAACTCTTCGTAAGGTGTGGGCTGTACTCGTGAGAACAACTTTTTGTATTTCGTTAAGGCATGGGCTACCAGGAATCCCTTCCATGAGTCTATTGGAAACTTTTCCAATCAATCAGAGGTTACCAGCTACAACTGGAATTGTTGATGTTCACATTTTTGAGATTTCGATTTCAAGGTCCTTGTATTCTGATAGTTTTTTAAGGATCTTCAAAGATACATTGTAGTCTGAAAGTACTTTCATACCATAAAACTGTAATAGGTCCTCTCCCCATAACCAGGATTTCACTGGGATTATTTACAAGCGTTGATAGGGTTTGTGCAAGGATTTTATGGATTGACGAGAGATAATAGAGCCAGAAATTGGGAACCTTGTCATTTCCTTGGGATTTCTATTTTTTGGATTTCGTAAGAACTAACCTAACATTATTTTCGGTTATATTTTCCTTGTGGAGGTTTATCCAGCATTAATTCTTCTTCGCGTTGGATCTGTTCTACGTTGGGGCTATATTCCTTTGGGCTGCTCCAAATATTCTTCCAAAATGTCTGTACGTTGTCAATAGATGGTGGATGTTTGACATTTATAGCTACTTTTCCAATTTCCCTGTAAAATTTCTTAAGGGAATATTTTATTTTGGCGATAGAACCTACAACTTTTATCGTATCATCTTGTTTTCTGTGCCTTTAACTAGTTTATATTTCAGCATTTCCTTGATTGATGGAATTTCATTTAGAGATTTAATATATTTCCACTTGATCTTCCTGCATTTGCGTGTTGAGACATTTGAGTTTCTTGTGATTTCATTTATTATCGAAATATCATATCTGATTTCCTTTATTTCTCTCATCAGTTTTGCCTTCCAAGCCGGCCCTCTTTTTTGTTTCATCTTTTCCCAGTCGCTGCTAAAGCTGATGCATATATGATATTGTTAACTTCTGGGATGTTTCCTAGTGGTTTTTCCGTTAACAGTATTTCCAGTGCAGCGTTGTATATTTGCACAATGTTCTGATTGGAATTTGTCATATGAATTTTTGGAAGCTACTCTCTGTCTGGCATTTGTGCTAATCTGCTGATTACTTGGATGACGTGGTTTTTCGCTTCGGTGATTTCCCATCTGTTGTTTTCAAGGAATTCTACCTTAATGTAGTTGGACTCATCTTTAGTGACATCGTTTGGATAAATGCAGGTTATGTCAAAGATAGATTCTTCGTTTTTATTTCCTGGGAGATTATTTCTTATCTCATTTATTTTAGTTTGTAACTCATCGTCTGTCCTATTATTATTATTATTATTATTATTGTGGGGCTCTCCCCTTTTACATAAGATGGACTCGTCCAAAGTATACTTATACTGACAGAGAGAATACCTGCAGCTGAGATAAGTGGAGATACGTTGAGATACGTGGAGATACGTTGAGATACGTTAAGACAGGTTGAGACAGACACAGGGGTGTTCTCAGAGAGTTATACAGGAGTCCAGAAAGAGAGAGAGAGAGATCGAGAGAGAGAGATTACGGCTTTACTTTATAGAACAAATTTTCTACTAACCCGCATTCCTCGACTAAATCTTCACTTCAAAGTCTGTATTCTTACGTTTAATAATTTAATTACTGGCGTTGTTTAATTATTTATTTGTGCAGGATTTATACACGAAAGGACAACAATTCAATTATTATTATTATTATTATTATTATTATTATTATTTTCTTGGATTTCTCTTGTATGCTCATTTATTTCCGGGTCCCAAACAGAGACCTAAGGTCAGAAATGATCATATTTTGAAAAAAGAAATCATAATCGAAGATCGCACCCATTTTACATCGATGAAGCTCTTCGTAAAATGTGAACTGTACTTGTGAAGATAATTTTTTCTATTTCTTGGCTACCAGTATTCTCTTCAATGAGTCTATCGGAATTTCTTCCAATCAATCTGAGGGCTCCAACTACTACTTGATTTATTGATGTCCTCATGTGCCACATTTTTGTGATTTTTATTTCAAGATCCTTGTATTTTGATAGTTTTTTTTTAAATCTTCAAAGATACGTTATAATCTGCAGGGACTGCTATATCAATAAGAAAGTAGATTCTGTATTTGTGGTCTTTGTTCATAATGTCTGGGCGATAGATTTGATTATTCTGTCTGTGTGTATTGTAAAGTCCCATATATTTATTGCAGGTCCTATCTCTGTAACCGGGTCTGGGTGATGTTCATACCAGTTTCTTGCAGTTTACTTCCTGTAAAAGTTGCATATTTTTCAGTGCAGAATTTTATACTCAATTGATGCTAAAACCGTACAACCTGATACACGATGGTCAATTGTTTCTGCATATTGATCATAGAATCTGCTTTTGGGGTATTATTATTATTATTATTATTAAGCAAAATGTTTGACGTAACTCTTCCAATATTTTCGAACAGTTAAAGGAAGAATCGAATTAAGAAAAGAAAAAGAAAAACAGTGTTTGACAACATTACACAATATTTCAAAGAATATCTGTATTCTTCAAGTTATATTTAAACAATTTTTTCAACAATTTTTTTCACGTATAAAATATATAAATCTACAATCAAAACATGCTTAATGTGATGGTGATCATGTTTATCTTAAAATTTTCCTTTAGTTGATTAGCTACCAAGAGGAACTAATCAAATAGATTAGTACAAATCTTATGGGCAAGTCGATAGATTCTGAATATTTTTCAGAATGTTTATCGAAATCACAGTCGTTTGTAATAAAATGTTTTTCATGCTCAGTTGACGTTACTTTATTGTGTCTGGCATCATACATTTGTCCATTGAATTTTTATTTAATTTCTCGGTTGTGCATCACCATGTAAATCAAGTCATGTTTGGTACATTGGGCGGTGTATATTAAATGGGAATCCGTACAATTACCACCGTCTGAAGAAATCGTGATGTTTCTCTGAATTTGAATTAACTTGATTAATATTACATAACGTAAAGAGTTTTCCTCTTCTATGTGTGTTTTCGGGAGAACAACGATCCGAAACTCTAATGTTCTTTTTAAGTGTGGACGCTTACATTTATTAAAATTTATCTAATGCATTTATTTCTTTTGAAAAAAAAAAAACTATAGGCGGGTCAGGAAAAATCTTTTTGAAACGCGGATATTTTTGCGCAATGTGCTCATAGCTGTCATATAGTATTTTCGAAATTCCTGCAAAATTTCGGTGCCAACTGTCAGAATTTTTAATGTGCTTTTCTGGTTTTTCTCCTGGTATAAAACTCTAGTAATCTTCATTTTTAGATATTTCATTTGTAATTTATTTCATTCGCGATTCTTGATTGTTGTGCTTAATATAATTCTGAATGAAATTATTAGCGTGTCCTTCCAATAAACTTTTATCTCTGTGCAAATGCATAAAAACTGGATCTTCGAGTTTGATTTGATCGTATATTAAGGTTTTACTCTTGTGTCTACAAATTCAGCACTAGCTTTGGAGAAACTAGATATAAGTTTTATTTGTGATCGAAAATAATTCTTTTGTGAAAAAGTATAACAAAATTGTAGAAATTTTAACAAACTTTTCTGCGTACATTCCCAAATGAAGAAAATATCAACCATAAATCACGGCTAAAGTTCTGGTTGATGGCTATGTTGGGATTTGAAAACTTCAAGTAATTTTTTTTCGAAATTTGTCACAAAGACATTCGCAAATTTAATGCACATGGAGGTCCCAATTGCACATCCTTTCATTTGGTGGAAAACCCTTTCGTCAATCTTCATCGTGTTGCTTACCAAGACGAAACATATAAGTCTACAGAGAAATGGTTTTGTTTTTGTGTTTCTCAAAAGCTTTGTTGCATGCCTCAATACTTCATCGCAAAAGCAAACATGAAAATCATTTTTTTTTCGTTCTGAAAATTTAGAATTAAAATCAAATGTGTCCCAGACATAAGACGATGAGCGTTTTGCTATATGGTATAAAAGTCTGTGTAACCACTTAGAGATTTTTGCCGTGAAACATTCATATCCACTACAAATCGAGCGTAGTGGAAGTAATTTATCATTTTTTTTATGTATTTTTGGAAGGCCATAAAACATTGGTGTTCTTGTCTTTGTATGGAATATGTTAGACTCTCTTTCATTAATATAACTATTTTCTTACATTTTAGAAATTATCTTGTCTAGCTTTTTTTCTGTAATAAGGATTCGAATCTATTTTGTTTCTACATAAAAATCATTCGTCCGTAAAAAACTTCTTCACAAACAAAATATAGTTTTCCTTATTCATAATAACAATAGCACTTCCATTGTCTGCCATTTTTATGACAATTGAATCTTCATTCGCAAGACGAAGAAGATCTTTACGTTTCGATGTAGTAAGGTTGTTCCAGGTTTTGTTAAGGTTTGATTTTATGTTATCTTTTATAGATACTTGAAGAAGACTTGAAGATACTTTTGGAATATTGGTTAACATTGTCAGATACGGTTTTCTGTCTTTTATTTAACTTTTCTTAAATCGAACTTTTCTCTTAACTACTGCTATTATTATTATTATTATTATTATTGTTAAAATATAATAAAACATTTCAGGAAGAAATAGTCCATCTGGCCTGAAGTGAGTAACTTAGAATTTTTAAACAGTACTTCAAAAATCAGAAGGTGGATCCAAACCTTTGGCTGTTCATGATGAGGATGATGATGATGATATCTGTATGTGTGTGTGTGTTTATGTGTGTGCGTATGTGTAAATATATATGTGTGTGTGTGTAAATATATAAATATATGAATTGCATATAAAGTGATGGTGATATTGAAACAGTTCTCGATGTTATATAACAGAGTTATAAAACACGGATATTAAAAAATGTCCATATCATCCCACATCATTCGAACGGCTCGGGATTCGCGATTTAGTTTTTAGTGTAGGGTATTACTCAATATTTATTTTATCTACTTGCTTATTAATTTATTTATTTACTATTTATCACATATTATGGGTTATTACTTATTGGTTTTAATACTGATTTTTTATCATGTATTTGTTATTTTTAAATATATTTTATAAATTTTTATGGAGTTTTAATAGTTTTTATAAGTTATTATAATTTTTATATTATTATATTGTATTAATTTATATGCATTTATTTATTATTATATCCGTTTTAGTAATGTTACTAATTTTATTTTAAATTAGATTAAGTTAGCTCCCTTCCATTATATAAATAATTATTGATACTTGATAAACTTGATTTATTGATACTTGATAAACCACTACTCTAAAAAATAGTACATAAAATTAACAATTATAAAAAAATTATAAAATTTAACAATAAATACTTATCTTTCATGTTCCTCTGGTAACACCGGTAATTTTAGTTGCTTGATTTAATTTCATGGGAAATATAATAAATTTAAAAAAAAAAGAAGGTTTTGAAAAAAACTTTCTCCTAATAGTGTTTAACTATGTCAGCATTACGGTTAATTGATATATTTTCTAATTATATATAAGTAACGGTCAGTACACATTAAACACCTGAAGATTGCATTTGGCATGAAACTCCGAGTTGTGCGAATGGCGCGGGATATATATATATATATATATATATATATATATATATATATATATATATATATATATATATATATATGTGTGTGTGTGTGTATGTGTGTGTGTGTGTGTGTATTTAAAGATATATTTCGTGGTACAAAACTTTATGACTGCCATAAAAAGACAAAAATTATTTTTATTACCACTCATGATGATAATAATAAAAAGTAAAACTGAAAACAGGCTAGCTGGGTAATATCAGTGATAGATATGCTAAGCAGGTTCGACATTGTTACTTTACCGCTGACACTCGTGTAGTCTTCCCTGCCAAGCCTGTCCTTCCGTCTATGCATAAGGACGTTCTCCCTCCACATCATAATAGTTCTTTAATTTATTCCTTTAAATGTAGTGGTGGTTCGCACTACATAGGGAGAACGACTCAAAGGCTGGATGTCAGAATAAAGCAACAGGTTCCAATGAAAATCCGCCATCTTAAGTACACTCCTTCAGACATTCTGACCAATATATATGGGCCTTCCATCACAGAGCACCCAATAAATAGCTATAATTGTGCTACTACTTTCAGTGCGGAATCATTTACCATTCTTAGCAAGTACCACTCGAATTACCACTTGAAAGTGTTGGAGGCCATTTATATTTTATCGTTGAAGCCCTCTCTGTGTAAACAGAAGGACTTTGTGCTGGGTCTCCAACTAATTTCCATCTAAGCAATATTTTTTCCAATACATATTGTTCATTTTTAGTGATAATTCAGTTGAATTTAATTTATTGACCTCGATTTAGCTCTTTGAGTGAGGTTCGAAACCGGTTATCTAGCCCGTTTTTCAGTTTTACTTTTTTTCTATTATCAACATGAGTGTTAATAAAAATTATTTTTGTCTTTTTATCGCAGTCATATATATATATATATATATATATATATATATATATGTGTGTGTGTGTGTGTGTGTGTGTTAAAATTTACTTTACTTATGTGGTAAGGTTATTAGGCATAGAGTGTAAACATAAAAACCACCAAAAATCTTGGGCTGAAAATCGCTTGTGGCGTGTAACTGACAGTCACCATGCAGTGTTGCTTCTTACGTCTATAATCTATCTATCTATCTATCTATCTATCTATCTATCTATCTCTCTATCTCTCTATCTATCTATCTATCTATCTAAAGAAAATACGCTTTGTCTGAGAGTGAATGCAGATATTTTTGCCAATTACAGATGGAAACTGAAAGATAATTCAAATGTGGATAAATATTTCCAGAAAATTGTTGAATGCGAGGATGAGAATTTACGCCCTACAATTACTGGAGCTCTTGGAATAATCTGGAAGTCCATGAAAATATAATCAGAGGAGGAATTGATACTATTTAGACAGTTGCAATATGGAAATCGGAAAAAGACCGAGAAATTGTCAGAATTATCGAGAAGACCCGCAGCCAGATCTTCAGCAAAACTCAGCCGATGGGGAAATCCATTAAAAATTTTAACATTTTAAGAATCGAAAGACAGTATTGTTTGATTTAGGTTACCAAGCGGGAAGCGATGTTTGAAACACTTTAAAAGAAAGTGATAAAATTGGTTAATGGTTTTAATTTTTTTTCCGAGTAGTTTTTTGTTTGAGAAGATTTGTCACATATTTTTTAGAGCTTTTAGCCTGATACATAATCGCCTTAATTTAGATCGCTTCATACAAATTTCTCTTTCATAGATTTCTCTTGGGTATTGAAACGGCCCTGTTTGGGCGTGAAAGAAGATTATTGGCTGGAAACAAACAATTATTACTGATGTTTAATAAATTTTCATTTTCTTGCTGGCAAGAATTTCACCAAACTTTGTCAATGCTCTAACAATTAAATCACTCTAAAAAATGTCAGTGAAGTCCCTTTTATAATTTGTGAACAATGTTGTGCTTCCTGAGTGAATAAAGTGTTATCTTTTCCTAAAAGACATCAATTTAAAAATATGGAGTTTTCATTTAAGTTAAAGAGTTAACAATTGTGAGGCGAATTGTTATTTCCTTAATCATTTCGCATCAAGCAATTCGATAAAAGCCACTGAATCTGTCTATATTTCTGAGATGAGGTATTATGTACATTATTTACATTATTGTCCTCATCTTTGTCGCCATATTTATTACAACGTTTCGGCCGTTGTAAGCTCCGGCCTTCTTTGGGTGGTTGGAATGTCGAACTGAACCCTTTATTTCGCTCGCTGGTGTAGACTGTTCTAGTTCCACGTTCCTCCTGTTAATTCGCCTCTGTTAATTAGGTTTATAATACCCAGAAATTCATACAAAGATGTCCTCAAGGACACATGACACAGTGGATAAAGGCGTTAGTTAGATCCAGTGACAGGACCCAAAGAGTGTGAGTTCAATACCCGGCTAAGGCAGTGGAGAACTTTCAGAGGGGAATTAACAAGAGATAACTGATAACTGACATCCATTAAACATGGCACGTGGAACTAGAATAGTCTACCCCAGTGAGCGAAATAAAGTGTTCAGTTCGACATTCCAACCACCTGAAGAAGGCGGGAAAGTACAATGGCCGAAACATTGTAATAAATATGGCGACAAAGATGAGGACAATAGTCTGAATAATGTAAATAATCAAAAGCCACTGAGATGCAAAAGTTGTTAATGAGAGAGAAAGAGACAGAAGATAATATAAGTAAAGAATTCAAGGAGTCAAAAGATAACGAGTGACATTGCGTTTAAATGCTTGTAGATCGTAGTCGACAGGAACGCAAGTATTCGGAACAGATTTTTAAAAGCGAGAAGGACACAAGCATTTTAACATAAAACTTACGGTTACAAATAACGATTTCTACAGCGTAATTTTGAGACCGAGCTACCAAAATAGTACCGCGCTTAAATAAGCGAAGTCGATATATCAGAGAGGAAAATCTTTCAGAATAATTACTGTGAGAATAGTTATAGAAAAGCAACAGGGAGACTACGTTACAGTTGTGGGAATGTGACTGAAGCCGAGTTGTCAGGATAGGACCTTTAATGTTGTAAATTCTATTCTATCAATACTATGACGCGTTCTATTCTTACGTAAGTAGACACATAATTAGATATTAGTTAGAAACAAAGAAAAGAATGATGAAATGCTATGTAATATCTAATCTCTTATATGGCAGTCGATGTTGGAAAATTTGAGTAATGTGGAAGTTTCAAGAAAAATCGGAACAACAAGGAAATTTGATTTACATTTAGGAAGAGACAGATAACATGTCTAATACTCAAAACGAGGAAAGAGGACCTAGAGAATTTAACATTCGCAGGAAATACTGAAGGCAAGAGAAGCAGGGTGGTGGGATGAACCAGCGACTAACGTACTAAAAGTTTGTGTAACTAGATGTCCAAATGAGGGACGAAGAGTGGGAGTCAAGTATAAAACAATACTCTGGGTAACAAAACAGGAAGTTTTAGAGAGTCATAAGTGTCCATATTCTGAAAGAACTTAGCAGATAAAATAATAGACAAGCATTATGACTACATTATTATATAACTTTTACTGAAGAAGTTGTACTGTTTGAAAGCTTTTATAAAAGTTTTGAATTTACTATAAAAACGAATATATCAGGAATTACCGTAAGATGATTGTGAGCAAACATGAATTTGAAACTAGGTTATTTGTATGGTGCGATCTTCATTATTCTGTGTCGGTGTCAAATTAAATCAAATTTAATAAATATCCACAAAGGAATTTATGAAGAATGAAATTATAACTTTGAGACGATTGAAGAAAATGTTTAAAAAGGTATTGAAAATAATGAAAATTTGAAATGAATCAATGAAAAATGGCGTTATTTGTGAGGCAACACCCATACAAGCAAAAAGACATGAACAAAATATGTACATATGCACTTATGCAACATGAATATAAACACAAAGATGCGGAGTCAATGAGACGATCACGACGTAGGAAGGGAAAATGACTAAAGGATAACATTAAGGAACAAACAAATGAAAAATGACAAAAGAAATTATTTAAGGACTTAAAAATTTACACACACGCACACAACTACATACACACGCGCACACATAAGCGTACACACATATGAAATTTAAGACATATTGCCACTTTGTCTAAAGTGACTCTTGGTCTGAAGATTGAAGGAGTGGCATCGATGTTATTGAAGCGTGAAACTGACAGCAACCATGCAGTGTTGTTTCTGAATATTCTAGATTTGTAAAAGTATTATATTCGATATTGAGAACTTTTTTATCTATAAATATGGAGAATTTTAAATAACACACACACACACACACACACACACACACACACACACACACACGCGCGAACGCCCAGGTACGTGTATTTGTATGTGTGTATTGGTGAGGATGAAAAGAGAGAGAGAGAGAGAGAGAGAGAGAGAGAGAGAGAGAGAGGGAAGATAAATGAAAACGAGTCGAGAAGAAAAGTAAAAAGTAAAAGCAAAGAGAAAAAAGTAATAGAAAGAAAAAAAAACGTGGAAAATAGTTTGAAAAAGAAAACGCTGAAAGAAATAAAATAAGAAAGATAGAAATAGGATATGTACGGAAAGAGGAAAAGAAAGAAAAGGGTAAGAAATGAAGAAAAGAAATAAAAGGAAAAGGAACGAAAAAAAGAAAGAAAAGAATGAAAAACAAAGAAAAAGAAAAGGAATGAAGAAATGAAAGAAATGGAAAAACAATGAAGAAATGAAAGAAAAAGGAAAGGAATGAATAAAATAAAGAAAATGGATAGGAATGAAAAAAGAAATGAAAGGAAGAGAATGAAGAAAAAAAAGAAAAATAACAGAAGGAAGAAAAGAAAGAAAAGGAAAAGAAATGAAAATAGAATGAAAAAGGAAAGAAATGAAAAAATAAAAAAATTGAAAGAATTAAGAAAAGAAAATGTAAAGGAATGATGAAAAGAAATAAAAGGGAAAAGAATGAATAAAGAAAGAAAAGAGAAAGGAATGAAGAAAAGAAAGAACAATATAAGAATGAAGAAAAGGAAGAAAAGGGAAAATAATTAAGAATAGAAAGAAAAGTAAAAGAATGAAGAATGAAGAATGAAGAAAAGAAAGAAAAGGGAAATGAATGAAAAAAAACGGTTAAGGAATGAATAAAAAAAGAAAAGTGAAAGGAATGAAAAAAAGAAAGAAAAAGGAAAGGAATGAAAAAAAATGAAAGAAAAGAGAAAAGAATAAAAAGTGAAGAAAACTTTTACTTCCTTTCTCATATAATTGTTTCAGCCATTTTTTTCTACGTGTTTCATCAATTTAGTATCTCGCAAAGATTTTGTTATGAAAATTATGCGGATCTATGTTTGGCTGATAGATGAGAACGTTGACAGAAATTTGCATTTGGTGACGGAAAAAAAATGAATACAACATATCTTGAGTCGATATTGGAATTTATAATGAAAAAAATATTTCTCATTTTTTAAAAATTTCTATTTAGACGTTGCAAAGTGCTGAGGAACTTCAGTTGTTAAATACTCAAAACGCAACTTAAATCAAATCTGAACAGAGACCTGAAAACAGGCATCGAGATAAAACGAAATCGTTGGTAAATTAAGAAGGTTCATCTTTTCAGCACACACACACACACACACACACACACACACACACACACACACACACACACACACAGAGCGAGAAAGACAAACAGATGGATAGGGTATGTGTGTGTGTGTGAGATAGAGAGAGACTGAGAGAGTGTGTGTATCTGTGTCTGCGTGTTTAAAAAGTTAGAATCAGTTTTGTTTAGAATTAAGTCAAAAATATACTATGAGATTAAAACAAGTTATTCTTTCCCACAAATCAAATTTCCAAGTAAACTTTTTGAATACGTTTCAATTTCCAAAAGATAAATCCCAATGTGTTTTTCATTATTAATGGCCGTTTTTCATCTCAGGGAATTTTTTAACAGACAATAAATAAACAAATAAAATAAAATGTAGAAGAAAGGAAAATTTTTGACTTTGATAACGTGTGAAACAATTTCCGGATGTGGTAAAGTGAAATAAAATGAAAGAAAAGATCGATTCAATTTGTAAACTTTTATCTCCGCATTTTATATAAAGTCTTCTGAGCCTATTAAAAATATGGTTGAAATTTTTGAATGAATCTTGAGTAAACGATTACGTTTTTATTTATTAAAGAATGGTTCTATACTGAATGCTGCACCATTTTATCATCCGGAATAAAGAAATCAATATAAATGTTTAGACACGCATCTCTGAAAATGTATGACTCAGCAAATAATTTGAAAATTATTTAGACTGAAACTAATCAGTCTTCTTTTTTTGTTTTTTTACTATTATTCTCTCGTTACGTTATAAACTATTATTGCCTATATAATAAAAAATAAGATCATTAAATATTTATAAGAAATCGATCAAATCTAAAATCAATAGAATAAGATTTTTTAAAAAAAATTGTCACTTTCTATTTAAATGCAGGAAATTTTCTAAAATCTCGGTCTTTCAAAAATAGATCTTAACTCAGACGAATGTAAAAATAAAATAAAAAGTTATTTTTTAGGCATTTTACATAAAATATTTTCAGTTAAATTTGGTTCAGAAACAAAAAAAAAGTTTAAGAATACGTTTATCTGTATAAAGAAAACTATTTTTTGAACTTAAAAATTTAATTTAAGCGAAACAAAGCAAAATTGGTGTTGAACTAGACAGAAATAAACAAATCGGAAATACTTTGCCGACTGAGTTAAATTCAAATCTAAGCTCCAATATCTGGGCGAACTTTCAGTAGAATTTTGTTTAAAGTTTTGAATCTTGCAATATGGAAACGGGTGTAAACACAAAGAATTTTTAAGAGATGAAAGAATTAGGATATATTCTGGTTGGATCTACTGGACAATGGTAGAAGAATTTAAGTGTTTTTTGGATTCTGCAAAATAAACTGTAGATTGATTTAAATCAACAAGCAAATTTGAATATATACTAAGAGCAAACATCTAATAAATCCATCAGATATTAATTATTTTCAATTACTAAGCATCAAGAAAACTAGAAAAATTGTTTCTCTTCTTTGCTGAAGAAATGAACCAAAATATAACAAATATTTCCTGGCATACTGTTTGTAAAATATTAAAAAAATGTGTGAGACATCATGAAAAGTATAACCGAAAAACTTTTCTAAAGAAAAGACAGCAAATCAAAATGCAAAAAATGGATCACTGAGCGGAAGAAAAATCTTTGTACAGACAAATCCAAATTTGAACCGTGTGTTTATAATTGAAGGCAGTGAGCGGGGAGAAGCAAAGCAAATTTATTCACAATACATTATCCTATCTATTAAGTATGATGGAGACAGTGTTGTGATCTGTGGCTACTTTTCTGCTGAAGCTGTTGGAAATATCTGCTTGATGAATGGAGAAAATAGACAGAAATAAAATAATCTGATTCAGATTAAATCAGTTGTACAAATTCGTTGAATTGGCTGTGGAATTTATTATCCCGAAGATAATGACCCAAACCACAGTTCTAATCCGTGGAAAACATTTTTGACTAATGAAAGAAAAACAAAATCTGTTACTCACCATGGACTGACCACGTTAAAGTCTGGACCGTATTTGAATTATGGAATCAAATGCAAATATTCTCTTAGAGGTTGCGAAAAATGAGATTAAATCTATTGAAACTATGTTCGAAAGATTTAGAAAGATTATAAAGGTAAATAGTAACTATACTAAATGCTAAACAAATACTTATATCTTCATTAATCTTTTTGACTTTTATAAGCATTTATAATTTGTGATACCATTTGCAAAAGGTTTTTGTTACATGTCCTTTTTCTCAGCTTTTATAATCAACGCGCACATGTTAAAATTCTGTTTGTTCAAGTTCTTAATACTAATTTCTGTAGAAAACCAGTCAGTATTATTGGAAATAATACAAGATTTACTTTCATTGCCAAGGATTGCAGGGGCTGTTAAGGATTTTGAATAGTGAGGGATCCAAAATAAGTTCAAAATTTGGCAATATGACTCCACCTTTTCAATGTCATTGACCGATTCGAAACATGGCTTTAGAAGTAAAGAAAAATATTTTTGTTATTCAACAACTTAATTCTGTTAAAATCATTTCTGGATATTTATCCGATTTCATTATTGTTCCTCTTTTTAATTCTAAAAAACAGGTTAGTTTGTCCAAATAATTATGACATGTTGAATATATATATATATATATATATATATATATATATATATGTGTGTGTGTGTGTGTGTGTGTGTGTGTGTGTGTATGTGTTGATGTAATGGGAAAGAACAGTCAGATTTAAAAGTTCTTTAGTATTTATGTTTTTATTTTTAAAAAGTGCTCTATACAGAAGTAGAGCTTAAAATTATAATTATTATTAAAAATGATGTAGTTTTTCATGTAGGCATAAAGGGAATGGGTCATCCCAGCTTCTACAAGTTCTTGTTCTATTTATTATTTTTCATTTTACTGTTGGTGTTTTATTTGTTTCTTTTAAATGCCCAAAATATTTAGATAGGGATGTTTAGTTTTGGTTTCTAATATTATTGAAGAAACTTTGGTGTTGTTCCCACCTTATTTTAAATTCATTTGTTGTGGATTCTATGTATATATATTTTCAATATTTGGATTATCAATGGATGGGATTGTGCATTGTTATACTACAGACTCAATTTCCAGGCTTTCTACAATTACATAATTTTTCATTATTATTGTCTAATTTCATTTTAGGATCTTTTGGCATGTGTATTTTTCAAGATTTTGTTATGTTTTTTATAATCCTTTCTAATTTTTCAGTACAGCTGTAACTTAATTTTTAGTTGTTTTTATTAAAAATTTCGATAAGTTTACTGTTATTAGGAAAATGTTTTTCGATTAAAGCTAGGAATTTTTATCCTAGCTTATTACTAACCATTGATTGAATGGGGCGGGGGAGTGTACCAAAGGATTTTTCTTTTTTTGTTTTTCTTCTCGTTTGTACTATTATGTTTTATATAATTGATTTTAGGGCGTTTGTAGCCACTATTTTTTAGAACTTGGTTGTAAAAAGTAATATGTTTATAGAAGAGTTTTTCATTAGCGGGATTCATACTAATTATTTTCGGAATTGATGAAGGTATAATTAATTATAGAGGGAGGATGATTTGATCTGGGGTGTACATATAAAGGACTAGTATTAAGTTTTATGTAAGGTAGGTGTATGTTGTAATGTTATGCCTAGGAAGTTTACCCGTTTCAATTTTCTGTTAACCGTAATTTTAAAATTTAGATTTCTGAATTCTCTACGTATTATTTTTCTACTTTTATCCATTTTAAAATTGGTAGAACTCCTCGCTACTATAAGGCCATAATCTATGTATAGCCCGATGTTTTTAATATCTATTTCATGGTGCACAGTTAGGTTATATAATATAAATAAACTGGTAAGGTCAGAAGACTCCGCAGAATCTAATGATCGCATTGTTATGTCAAAATGGTCTTTGGAGTTTTTAATCCATTGGTCACCATTATGAATGAGGACAGATTTTTTTTGCGCTAAGAATTGTTTTTTCTTCTTCTGTTAGGTCTGAATATATAGTTTCAAACTACAGGGCAGTCGTGAAAAAAAAAGAATTTGTAGGTCTGATTTGTAGGTAATTATTATTCCAATGTAATAAATTATAACCGTGGAATATTAGTGTTTAAGCCTTTTTATTATATTCTTACTCTGTCCTGCGCATTGAGTTCTACCTGGTTTCTATCCTCTTGGAAATTTATATATATCTATATCTATATCTATATCTATATATATATATATATATATGTGTGTGTGTGTGTGTGTGTATGTATGTGTGTATATATATTTATATATTTTAGATATATATATACGTGTGTGTGTATATTAACCACTAATATTATCTATCTATCTATCTATCTATCTATCTATCTATAGATATGTGTGTGTGTGTGTGTGCGCGCGCATACTGAAGTCCCTCAGAAAACAAGGGTTATAAATCTGTAAGGTTAACGGTATGAGATGTCATAAGAATGACCAAACATATATCAGTTGAATTGTGACTTTCCATAAAAGACTGATTCATTTTAATGCACCCTGATTGGCTCATCTACAAGAGATTGTAGTATATTTGGTGCCCGAGAGACTAAAAACGACAGAAAGCGTTAATGGCCTGATCATCAACAAATTCTAATTTATATAATAAAATATTCTCTAAATATCTAACTTGGTGAAAGCACTTTTCCTTTAAAAGTAACATTTGTTTCCTCATAGGCCTCGATATACTTTCAGTATTTCAGTCCTATATTCAGATTTTGACTGGAGCCGGTCGAAATTCACTATGGTTCCTCTGCTGATAACCTCGGAATAATTACACATGAAGTTTCTCACATCGTTCTGTTCCAGAGGCGATGAAACAAAGGTGAATTAGAATGCGCCTTGGTAAGAAAATGCAGGATCCAATCTCCCCCCAAAACTCAATTCTTGAGGTCGGTAATTTAATTAAATATTCATAATTAACCAAGAAATAATTGAGTAAAATAATTCAAATGGAATTAAGTGATCGATTGGTATCTTAAAATGTGGATTACGATAAATTCAGACAACACTGGTATACCTGCTTGGGCAATGATATGCACACATTGATCTACAAGCCCTTGTGCAAGCCATTCATTATACAAAAAAAGACAAGTCCATAAACGCTCTCTAAAATGATGTATTGTGTTAAAGTCAATTCGTCGAGAGAAAGAGAAAAACTTTTCGTTAAATTTGCTCAGGAAAAATATGAAATCACTTTCTTTTCTTAAAGGTTTTGTTTGGCAACTTATTTTCCATGACTGCAGATTTTCTTTAAGATTTCTCTGAATCGTTTACAGACATTGGCGACCTTATCGCATGCTGTACTGATTACTATTCAGGGCAACGCCATAGCGACTCAGATTTAGAAAGAGGCGAAAATTGAACTTGTCAAAAACAGGCGCACTTGACATATAGCAATCTCTATTAGTCTTTCAATATCTATCTATCTATCTATCTATCTATCTATCTATCTATCTATCTATCGAAAATAAA